CTAAACATGGGTTCCTTGCCAAACGATTTTTTAAATCATTCTATTGATGAATTAATGTGGAATCAGGGTTTTTAAGATAATTTTCAAAGGAATTCTTAAAGAACCCATGATCCCCAAATTCTCGAAAATTGGCCTATGATGTGGGTCTTTGTGAACATGATCTCTATTGGTGAAATTATGTTTAGATTAGATTGTATTGATGTTTTCTATGATTACCTTTACTTATTCATGTGAATTGTTGGTATATTCATGAGTTGAGAATTATGGCCTTATGGGCAAAGTTATTGGTTGATCCCTTTGTTTATAGAATTGTACTTAGATTGTGTTTATGTTATTGAATTACATTGTTGATTCCTATTACTATCTATGTCAATTGATTATGAATTGTTGAGGATTGATCCATGGTGATCATGGCTTGGAGAATTGGTAAGTTGACCTAACTTTTAGTCTATAGTATGAGAATTGATGTTGTGTGGTTTGATCCACTTATGGTGGAGGTGTTCACTTCTTGTCTATCTATGTATGTTGAGATCATGGCCTTGAAGGCAATAAATGTGAAGTGAATTGATGATTATGATGCATATGTTTATGAAGTTATGCTATAAAGGTTATCTATGAAATCCTCAATGCTAGCATGATGTTTAAAGTGTGTTGATGATGAGGAGTATAATGTGAATGATAATGTTAGGGATAAGGTGTGGTCTACATGATTGATTATGTTAGGTACTATTGTGGAATGACCCCTACCTATAAGACCCCTATATGAATGTTTGATCATATACATGTTAGGAGTACCTATTCAATATTGAATGTGTCCTTGTCTCCTATGTTGAAGTGTTGGTGTGTGGTGTAGAATCCCTAAGGGCTTTATATGTGAATTGCTCATGAATTGGGGACATTGTGAATGTGTTGTGATCCCTTTAAGGGAAGAACACTCAATATCAATGTTGTAGCTAATATTTCACTATGAGGACCAATATGCACACACACACACTCTACAGGTATAGTTATGAATATGATGTGTTATGGTGTCTATTGAAAGGTTAACTCTTATATGCACCCTTACATCTTATTATGCATGCAAAGTGTATGGTTAGCAAGGTATGAATATGTGTTGTATAAAGTTGTTTATGTGAAAGGCTTTCTCACATATGTACACACACATGAATGAATGAATGAGATTTATGATAATCTAGTTAAAGTGAGTCTCTAGAAAGGTGTCCTCAATTGTACTCTAAACTAGTATTATGAATATGGTATGATTATGCGAAAGGTCATTCTCACATAATATAGGTTCTATGATGAAAGGTCATTCTCATCATAGAAACCTTTGAGCTATATGATATGAGGGATTAATTCCCTAAATCTTATTTTATGAACTAATGTTAAATAAAGGCTTAAAGATGTTTAAAAAGAGAATTGGAGCTTAGCACCGAGTGAACATGAAAAATTAGAGTGGGGGCTTCACGTTTATCAAGTTCGGCTTCCCACAAAAGAACCTTCACGTTTAGCAAGTCCGGGTTCCCAACATAAATATTGTCTCATGAGATGGAAACCTCCACTTTTAGTAAGTCAAGGTTTTCTAGTAGTAATCTCCTTGTTCCATAACTATGTGCCCCCGTAGGTATTAGCTTAGTGTATCCACTAGATAGCTATTATGTATGTAGGTCCTACTTTGGCAAGTAGTACCCTCTCTTTTCGGTGTGGGGGTAGAACACCGGATTCCATGTAGCTCACATGGTCTATGTCGGTTATAGCAATGTCTCTCAAAAGTTAAGAAATGAACTAAGATAAGAATATGAACTCTAGTCATGATTTCTTGAATAGTTACTTAGTGTAGGTAGGACTATGGACCCTACTTATGCATTGCACAAGTGTACTCTAAGGGAGGTTATGATTAGGCTCTTTGTGTAATGAAAACTATGGTCTATGTATGTTAATATGAAAGCATGTTAAGGTTGACTTTATATATGTCAAGACATGAAGTATGATTATGCATGTGAATTACACTTATGACTTCTTAATGGGTTTGCTTAGTATATGTGGGGGTATGGGACTCCATGTGTACATTGCACAAGTGAGCTTGTGAAGGGGTTGTTAGGGTGGTTTACCTATGATATGTACTAAATGGGTTATGACTAATGATGTAGTAAATGAATGAGTCCTTATATGATGTTATGAAGTATGTTGGTCTTATGTCTAATGTTAAATGAAGATGTTATGACTTGTTGAATATGATGTGCCTACTCTATGGTGGCTTCCTAGGAACACTTGGTGGGAGTAGTATTATGGGATGCTACTTGCACGTTGCACTAGTGTGACTTGGGGGTTGTCTTAGGTGATGGTTCCTATGTGAAGACTATTTCTTATGGTGTGCTTATGACACTACGAATATATGTGGTTGGATTGATGAAGGCTATATGTAAATTCACCTTTGGTAACCTTAAGGCGATACATTGCACCAAGTATTCCCTAAGGGTTGCTTGAGGAAAGGAGTTAAGATAAAGAGGAAGGTAATGTATTGTATGCATTGAATGTGCCTAAAATGTTATAAGTGGATCTATGTGCTATTATGAATGGTTTACATGTGTATGATGATGTACGGGGTTTATATTTTGCCTATTGTACTAAATGTTCATTAAGTTTCTCTAAAAAGGCATGATGCATAGTTTCCAACTAAATGTCCTTTTAAGATCATGCTTTGCATGGTTATTATACCTAGTGCATTCTTGTACTAACACCATTCTTCTTCATCTTTTTACACCATGTGTAGGTGATGTAATTAAAGGGTCTTTCCTAGAAGTGATGAGCTTGGCTTACTATTCCCAAGTTCGGGTGTGTCCTTAAAGATTCAAGGACATTTATGTTAAAGAGTTTCCTTATGTTCTATGAAGTAGATAGTAGTTTCTTTTGTACTGTAAGGGTTGTGTCCCTCTTGTGTTGTAGTCATGCTTTAAGATAGCTACCTTGAGACGTAATAATCCGATTTTTGTATTAAAGGTTTAATGAGGTGACTTTTATGTCTTGTGTTATATTATGAAAAAGTTTTAAACTTTCCACTATTTTTCTATGATAAATGCTATGAAGAATGCTAAGGGCTTGTATAAGACCTCCGAGAGGTCGAATACGTCGGTAACGACTAGGGGGTGCTCTCGGGTCGTTACAAATGGATTCTCATAAAGGCATGGATGAGTTATTGACTCCAGAGCTACTGATCATATGACCTTTGATCAGTCCTTGCTACAAGCTCCTAATAAACCACATCGTTCACATGTGTCCAATGCAAATGGTGTATCATCCCCAGTTACTAGTGCTGGAACTGTTGTTCTGACTCCATCCTTGTCTTTAGAGCATACATTATTTGTTCCTTTACTATCCAATAATCTTTTATCTGTGTCTCAAGTAACTCAACAATTAAATTGTGTAGTATTAATGTATCCTCATTTCTCCATCTTTCAGGACCTCAACAGCAGGGAGGTTATTGGGCGTGGTACTAAAAGAGAGGGGCTCTATTATGTGGATGGTGTATGTCGTGGTATTGCTCTAACTAGTCAAAGTTCTTTTTCTACTAAAGAACGCCAAATATGGATGTGGCATCGAAGATTCGGTCATGCTTCGTTTGGCTGCATTAAACACTTATTCCCAACTTTGTTCTCGGAGTGCAATTTCTCTAATTTTCATTGTGATGTTTGTGCATTAGCTAAAAGTCATCATACTACTTATCATTTAAGTACTAGTAAGGTGATTGAGCCGTTTGCATTGATTCACTCTGATGTGTGGGGTCCCTCTCCAGTTTCTAGTTCATCTGGCTATCGTTGGTTTATAATATTTGTTGATGAGTTTAGTCGTATGACATGGATTTATCTACTAAAGAATAAAAGTGATGTTTCTGAATGCTTCCGCTCATTTCATAAGATGATTCAAACCCATTTTTCAGCCAAAATAAAAGTTCTTAGGTGAGATAATAGTGGAGAATATGTTAATCAAGTGTTGCAGTCGTATCTCCAAAATCATGGCATCATCTAGGAAACTACATGCGCTTTTACACCTCAGCAAAATGGTGTAGCAGAGAGGAAAAATCGCCATATATTGGAAGTTACGCATGTATGTTTGATTAGTTCTCATATACAACCTTCATCTTGGGAGGATGCTATTTTGTATGTTGTTTATTTAATAAATCGTGTACCAAGTAGTGTTATCCATTTTAAGACTCCCTTAAATCACCTCTCCAATTGTATTAACCTCTCATCTACCTTAAAATTGGAACCTCGAGTTTTTGGTTGTGTTGTTTTTGTTCACCTCCCTAAACACAAATGTACGAAGCTTGATCCATGTGCATTACGGTGTGTCTTTGTTAGGTATTTCCCTCATAAAAAGGGATACAAATGTTATCATCCCCCTACCAAAAGATTGTACGTTACTATGGATGTTACTTTTTCTGAGACCGAGATGTATTTCTCTCCGGAGTTATCTAGTTTTTCTCTTCAGGGAGAGAATAAGGTTGAAGAACAAAATTGGATGTTGTTACTACCTGATAATAGTGGTACAAATTCAGATAATACATGGCTTAGCTCAACAACTATAGACCAAGGCATTCTCAATCAAACAGTGCAACAAGAAAGTGAAGAATCCCCCTCTCCAGTACCATTAGGGGCCGTTTGGTTACTGGATAAGGATTGAGTAATTCAGGTATAAAATGTTGCATAAGCTTTACCATGTTTGGTAGCAATTTTTTGTCAAATGTATAAAATTCAACACACATAATACCGTGTTTGGTTAGAAAATTAGAAAGCCACATAACTAATACATGTTTAAATTATGAGTCAATCTATGTATTATTTTATGCAGGGTAAAAGATGGAATAAGTTATACCTGAATAACTAATACCTGAATAAAAATATAAATTGACAATTTTGCCCTTCACTCTCAATTAAATATACAACACTTCTTTTTAGAAAAACATTTAGATCCACTCTCCATATCTCTAGATCTAGAATGACTCTTCATCTTCCAGGCCAATAGATTGAAAAACTTTCAATCTGACGTTCTTTCTTTGAGGTTAGAAGTTCTGAAACTCAAAATTTGGCTGATCTTGTTTTATTTTCTTCTTCTTCTCCTCCTGTTTTCTCTTTTTGTGTTTTTCCTCTTGTTAATCTGATGAGAGACGAATGAAATTCTAGATCTTCTCAGTATTTTCTAGTTAAGTTGATGTTTTAGTACATCCAAATTTGATGTGGATTTTGTTTTGTTTGTTCAAAAATCGTGCTTTCTGAAAAATGGGTTCATTAGGTTTAGTTGTTTTAGCTTCTAAAATTGCAAAAGATGAACATGTTATTTGCAGTTTGACAAAATAGTATTGTATTCTAGCTATTGAAGCCAAACAAAAATAAACATTTTACCCTGTTTTTCAATGTTACTTTTCATTTTTTTTAATAATAAAATTGAACATTCTAGTTTGAAACCATCTATTACCTTCCTATTATACATAATGTGTCTGCAATAATTAGTTAAGTAACATGATTGATACTTTTGTTTCTTTTGGATTCAATTTGATACTGATGTTGCAATTTTTAAATGGAAAATAGGTGTAAATGGATTCTCAGCAGTTGTGCGATGTTGAATGCTTTATGATCCTCGAGGAGATTGTGGTGCATTCGTATATTGTCCTTATTTGCTATTTTATGGCTATTTACAGCATGTTATTAAGAAACCAATCTAGAAATAGACGGGTCATTCGATATTGTATGAGTGCTAGAATTCCTAAAATCTTGTCTCATCTAAATGTTCTCATTCGTGACAATGATATTGTATGTATTGACAAGCTTAGGATGGATAGAAATGCCTTTCACATTTTGGCCTCCTTAGCCAAGAATATTGGAGGGTTGACTGATAGTAAAAATATGTCGAGTACTGAAAAATTAGCAATGTTCTTAAATATTTTGGCTCATCATGAAAAGAACAGGTCTGTCAAAGTTGATTATATTAGATCGGGGTGGAGTGTAAGTCGAGCCTTTAATGAATGTCTAAGAGCTATTCTTAAACTAACTCCATTGTTACTTGTTAAACCTAATCCGGTACTCGAAGATGATACTGATGATCGATGGAAATGGTTTAAGGTAGGTAAATTTCAATCTAACATTTGATTTACTACAACAAACTTGAAATATTATGGTGAAAGTATTTTTACTTTTAATAGTCCTTTAGTATTTAGAGTTGAATTTATCTTATAGGGTTGTCTTGGTGCATTGGATGGTACTTACATTTCCAATAGAGTTGAAGCAATATATAAGCCAAGATACAGAACACGAAAAGGAGATATAGCAACTAATGTCTTGGGGGTTTGTGATAGAAATCTCAACTTCATTTATGTATTACCTGGTTGGGAGGGATCAGCCGTTGATGGTCGCGTATTGCGAGATGCTGTTGTACGAAGAAATGGGTTGAAAGTACCTCAGGGTATGCTAAATAATAGGCAGATCTTGTCTATTTCTACAACATCAAAATAAAATAATATTTAAAGTAATTATATTATTGTTTACATTTTTAGGCAATTACTATTTGTGCGATGGAGGATATACAAATGGAAATGGTTTTTTGTCTCCTTACCGAGGATATAGATATTGGCTAAAGGATTGGCAAGGTGACAATCCGTCACCTCAATGTCGAGAAGAGCTCTTTAATATGAAGCATGCTAGGGCGCGTAATGTTATTGAAAGAGCATTTGGACTATTAAAAGGACGTTGGGGAATTCTTAGAAGTCCTTCGTGGTACTCGGTTAAGGTTCACAATAGAATTATTAGTGCATGTTGTTTGATTCACAATTTCATTCGAAGAGAGATGGAAGCTGACCCATTAGATGTGGAAATGGAATTCCACATGGAAAATCAACATGAACATGACAATATTAATACAATTGAAGCATCTGATGAGTGGACCACTTGGAGGGATGAACTAGCTCAATCTATGTGGAATGAAAGATTGGGAAATCAATCTTTATAATTTTAAACTATGTGATCACTTTTGGTGTGCTTATGCACTTTTGTTTTTGGTTTTCCGCTCACTGTAAAATGTAATAGCTTTTATTATTTTGTGAAAACGAATGGTCAATCTTTTGTATGTCTCACATTGTTGTCTGTACAAACAAATAGTGAAACTCAATGTATATCTATTATTTTTGAATAGAAGTAGTGATTTTGTTTATATGTCATCACATTATCTTTTTCCTATATCAATCAAGTTGTATTACAAGTTATTTGGTTATAGTTGAAATTTTTTACTTGTAAGTTGTAACTTAGTATTACTTGTGATTTCATTTACAATTTTACAGATTGAAATGGCTAGTTCTACTGCTGCAGCATCTAACACGTCCAGAAAGAGGGCAAGAAAATCAACACCTTCATCTCGAAGGGTATGGACTCCAGAAGAGGAACTTACTCTTGTAGATGGATTAAAAGAATTGTGTGTTAATGGTTGGAGAGGAGATAATGGAACCTTAAGACATGGATATTTAATGGAATTGGAACACTACATGAATGCTCGTCATCCTAACTGTGGATTGAAATCTCTACCACATGTTGATTCTAAAATAAGAGCATGGAAAAAGAGTTATGCAACAATATCGTTGCTAAAGAGTCGAAGTGGTTTAGGATTCCAATATAGTGATGGAAGTATCTTAGTTGATGATCCTAAAGCTTGGGATGACTTGATAAAGGTGATTTATATTTATTTTAAATCATTAGGGAATTGCTACTTACTTATATTTTCTCTTGGTTAATGGATCTTTGTTTATGGAATATTTTCAGTTACTTCATGTACTTGTTTTTTATTTTCTTAGGTTGATCCAAATGCCAAGTCAATGAACTTAAAAAAATGGCCATTATTTGCTGACTGGGAAATGATATTTGGCAAGGATAGAGCTACTGGAGAGTTTGCTGATGGGCCAGAAGATGCTGTTGAAGAAATAGAAAGAATTGAAGCTCAAGAAATTACTGATGGCATGTCTGTGGGATTTCCTATTGATGTTGTCGACGTAGATGATGCTTCAGGCACAAGAGAAGATCAAGCTGCTCAAGAGGAACCTAATGTATCAGCTGGAGCAACACAAAGTCCATTTACTACTCAAGATGAACCTAATGAATCAACTGGAGCAGCACAAAGTTCATTCACAACTCAAAAAGGTGAAACCCATCAATCTCAGAAACAAGGTAATAGTTTTAAAGCATCATCTTCTAAAGTCAACGAAAAAGGTAGATGCAAAAAAAGAAAAACAACTGAAGATGATAATGAGACTGTTCTTAAAGGTTTGATGGAGGTGATGAAACAATTCACTGAAAGCCATGACAAAAGGATGGCTTCTTTAATTGACAAGCTAGGAGAGCGTGATCTATCTGAGATTCGTGGTAAGATATTTTCTATTATTGGATCCCCTGCATTTGAAATATACAACTCAGATGAACGAGTCAAGGCAGCAATGGGAATTACTCAAGATATAAAGAGGATGGAATTCTTCTTAAGCATCAGTGAACTTGAACGCCACAGTATGATATGGATGATTATTAATGATAAGCTTTAAATCATTGATGGTTTTTGTGTAGCTATTTTGTAAGGTCTAACTATTATGGGATTTTTTGTTACCTAGTAGAATGTCCACAAATGTACATATATGTGAATGTTGTGGGCTTAAAGTAGGTTGCTTTTGTATAACAAATGCATGATTAGGTTCAACATTAGTGTTTTTGTAAGTAGCCAACTCAGATGCTCTTCAGATTGCTCAAAACGCTGACCCAAACGGTAAGTTCATCTTCTCTAATGTGTTTTTAATTCCTTCTTCTCCGAGACTGTATTGAAATTTTCTTTTCTCGCAGACTATTCAGCAGTTGGAGTAATCACAAAGATCCAGTCAGAAATACAAAGTACTCAAATGCTATTTTGTCAAGTGATTATATGTTATTGGGGCTGGTATTCAACTTTTGAAGCTTGGTGTTTGTCATGGAAGGATAATGTTACAAAAATAGGAGACTTCTTTTGAAAAAAAAGTAATTGTATGTCTTTGTTGTATGTGCCAGCTTTTATAATTGAACAATGAATTATGTAAGTTTCATTCACTTTAAATGAAGATGTGTCTAATATTTTGACAATGAATTATGTGTGATTGAATTCTTTCCTCATGAATGCTTTCTCATTTAGCTTAATTTGTATAGTCACGTAGTTGAGGTGCTCTAAAATAAAGAATATCACATCATTATTGCAGAACTACCACGTTGGAAATGGCACACAAACTATAGTAATTTTGACAAAGACAAGGATTTGGATCCTTTGGATTGATAGTTGGTGAAAGTAATAAAGAGCAACTAATGCACTTTCAAGTAAAGAATGGAAATAAAGTGAGTCTGATAAAGGTTACAGCTATCTATCTACAATAGCTATCTATTCCTCATAATGTATCTGATTGTATTTAATTAGAAGTGAAGAAGGGTCACAGTTATCTATCTACCATACACAATTGAAATGGTCAGCGTTGGAGGTAATAAATCCATCCGTCATTTGGTTAGTAATGGAAGTTTAATGCAATTTTAAGAAGTGAATGACAATTGAATGGTAATCCTGTTATGGATTCTAAAGTTAGACTTTGAGCAACTAATGACACAAATAGGGTTGCCAGATTTTAGAACTGTTGGTAAACCATTTCGACTAAATTTCAAAGTTAAAACGCCTAATTGCACAAACTCAAAACAAAAGCCTCGAAACTCAAACCAGCCATCCTAATAGACTAAAAATGACCTTCTGGATCTAACCGCGCTGACGGAATTCTCATCCGATCAGTTTCTACTAAGAATACTGACTGAAGTCGATATTTGAGTAAATTTCCAAGCTAAAACGCCAAATTGCACAAACTCAAAACGAAAGCCTCGAAACTCAAACCAGCCATCCTACTAGACTAAAAATGACCTTTCGGATCTAACCGTGCTGACGGAATTCTCATCCGATCATTTTATACTAAGAATACTGACTGAAGTCGATATTTGAGTAAATTTCCAAGTTAAAACGCCTAATTGCACAAACTCAAAACGAAAGCCTCGAAACTCAAACCAGCCATCCTACTAGACTAAAAATGACCTTTCGGATCTAACCGCGCTGACAGAATTCTCATCCGATCAGTTTGTACTAAGAATATTGACTGAAGTCGATATTTGAGTAAATTTCCAAGTTAAAACACCTAATTGCACACACTCAAAACGAAAGCCTCGAAACTCAAACCAGCCATCCTACTAGACTAAAAATGACCTTCCGGATCTAACCGCGCTGATGGAATTCTCATCTGATCAGTTTTTATTAAGAATATTGACTGAAGTAGAACTTTGAGTAAATTTCAAAGTTAAAACGCCTAATTGCACAAACTCAAAACGAAAGTCTCGAAACTCAAACCAGCCATCCTACTAGACTAAAAATGACCTTATGGATCTAACCGCGCTGACGGAATTCTCATCCGATCAGTTTTTACTAAGAATATTGACTGAAGTCGATATTTGAGTAAATTTCCAAGTTAAAACGCCTAATTGCACAAACTCAAAACGAAAGCCTCGAAACTCAAACCAGCCATCCTACTAGACTAAAAATGACCTTCCAGATCTAACCGCGCCAACGGAATTCTCATCCGATCACGTTTTACCAAGAATATTGAATGTAGTCAAACTTTGACTAAATTTCAAATATCTTGGTAAAATGTGACCAGATGAGAATTACATCAGCTCGGTTAGCTCCATAAGGTCATTTTTGTTCTAGTAGGATGGCTGGTTTGAGTTTCGAGGCATGCATTTTGAGTTTGTGCAATTAGGCGTTTTAACTTGGAAATTTACTCAAATATCGACTTCAGTCAATATTCTTAGTAAAAACTGATCGGATGAGAATTCCGTCAGTGCGGTTAGATCCAGAAGGTCATTTTTAGTCTAGTAGGATAGCTGGTTTGAGTTTCGAGACTTTCGTTTTGAGTTTGTGCAATTAGGCATTTTAACTTGGAAATTTACTCAAAGTTCTACTTCAGTCAATATTCTTAGTAAAAACTGATCAGATGAGAATTCCATCAGCGCGATTAGATCCGGAAGGTCATTTTTAGTCTAGTAGGATGGCTGGTTTGAGTTTCGAGGCTTTCGTTTTGAGTTTTGTGCAATTAGGCGTTTTAACTTGGAAATTTACTCAAATATCGACTTCAGTCAATATTCTTAGTACAAACTGATCGGATGAGAATTCTGTCAGCGCGGTTAGATTCGGAAGGTCATTTTTAGTCTAGTAGGATGGCTGGTTTGAGTTTCGAGGCTTTCGTTTTGAGTTTGTGTAATTAGGCGTTTTAACTTGGAAATTTACTCAAATATCGACTTCAGTCAATATTCTTAGTAACAACTGATCGGATGAGAATTCCGTTGGCGCGGTTAGATCCGAAAGGTCATTTTTAGTCTAGTAGGATGGCTGGTTTGAGTTTCGAGGCTTTCGTTTTGAGTTTGTGCAATTAGGCGTTTTAACTTGGAAATTTACTCAAATATCGACTTCAGTCAGTATTCTTAGTAAAAACTGATCGGATGAGAATTCCGTCAGCGCGGTTAGATCCGGAAGGTCATTTTTAGTCTAGTAGGATGGCTGGTTTGAGTTTCGAGGCTTTCGTTTTGAGTTTGTGCAATTAGGCGTTTTAGCTTGGAAATTTACTCAAATATCGACTTCAGTCAGTATTCTTAGTAAAAACTGATCGGATGAGAATTCCGTCAGCACGGTTAGATCCGGAAGGTCATTTTTAGTCTATTAGGATGGTTGGTTCGAGTATCGAGGCTTTCGTTTTGAGTTTGTGCAATTAGGCGTTTTAACTTGGAAATTTAGTCGAAATGGTTTTCCAACAGTTCTAAAATCTGGCAAGCCTATTTGTGTCATTAGTTGCTCAAAGTCTAACTTTAGAATCCATTACAGGATTACCATTCAATTGTCATTCACTTCTTAGAATTGCATTAAACTTCCATTACTAACCAAAGGACGGATGGATTTATTACCTCCAATGCTGACCATTTCAATTGTGTATGGTAGATAGATAACTGTGACCTTCTTCACTTCTAATTAAATACAATCAGATACATTATATGCCTTTTTATAGATCTAAAATTTCATTATCTTCTAAGAGGCAAATCTTGAAGAACGCTCAATCTAAATTCTTTCTTTGAGGTTAGAAACTTTTGAAATCTTAACCTTTTCTTATGCTTTCGTCTTCTTCTTATCATATTGTTTTTTTTCTCTTGTAAATCTGGTGAGAGACAAATGCAATATATGTGAAAATAAGTTAGTATACTTTTGTAGTGAATCATAAGTTAGTATAAATTGTGATTTTTTACATTCTTACAGATTAAAATTGCCAGTCCTACTAAAAGAAGGTCTAACATGTCTCAAAAAAGGGCAAGGGTGTGGACTCAAGAAGAGGAACTCACTCTGGTTGATGGATTAAAAAAGTTGTGTGCTAATGATTGGAAAGAAGATGATGGAACCTTTAAACATGGATATTTGATGGAACTTGAACAACACATGAATGATTGTCATCCTAATAGCGGATTGCAAGCTCTACCACATATTTTTTCAAAAATAAGAGGGTGGAAAAAGCATTATATGACCCTATCATTGGTAAAAAGTCAAAGTGGCTTAGGATTTCGATACAGCGATGGAACTATCTTGGTTGAAGATCCAAAAGCTTGGGATGACTTCATAAAGGTGATTTACAATTGTTTAAATTATTAGTAAACTAAAGCTAGTTAGTTATATTTTCTCTTGGTGAATATAATCTCTGTCTTTGGAATATTATCAGTTACTTCATATACTTGTTTCTTTTTTTTCTTAGGTTGATCCATATGCCAAGTCAATGACATTTAGGAAATGGCCATTATTTGTTGATTGGGAAGAGATATTTCGCAAGGATGGAGCTACTGAACAATCTGCCGAGGGGCCAGAAGTTGGTGTTCAAGAAATAGAAAGAATTGAAGCTCAAGAAGTTGCTAATGATATGTCTTTTGAATTTCCTATTATTGTTGTCGATGAAGATGATGCTCCAGCTAAAAAAGAAGATCAAATTGCTCAAGGGGAACCTAGTGTATCAGCTGGAGCAACACAAAGTTCATGGAGTGCTTTTTAAGCATCAATGAGCTTGATCGTTACACTATGGTATGAATGATTATTGATGATAAACTTTAAACCTTTGAATGGTTTTTGGTGTAGCTACTTTGTTAGGTATAACCATGGCCTAGTTAAGTTTTATTTTGCCTATGTTTTATGTGCCAGTTTATATAATTTAACAGTGAATTATGTAAGTTTCTTTCACATTTAATGAAGGTGGGTCTAGTTTGATTCCGTGAGGCCACGGTACTAGAATTTCAAGTTTGTCTCAATGGTATATGTTAGATTTGTTGTATTCTTCATCTTATAAAATTTATTTTGTCACTATTTTGTTGCTTGAAAAATGGACTCTCAATTTTAGGATATGGCAGTATGTGAAAATTGTAACTGAATGAATTATTTAGTATGACGAAACTGAAATTTAGATTTAATGTACTCCATTATTATTTTGAAAATTAAGT